TTAGCCCTCTTTCTCTGCCAACGGGTTTTCAACACAACAAACGCTTGAACACGAGTATCATCTTTCTCCCAGGAGAATAGTGCACACAGAGAAGCTCAGAATGTGGTGGCAGACAGTTAAAACATTTTCATTGCTGACAACACAGGGTAATAAAACACCCACTGCTGCATGTTGTAACAAACCATTTTTGTGCTCTAAGGCAGTCACAGCCTTTTGGAACATGCTGGCGTGTTTTGTTGCATCAACAAATTGAGTGATTGAAGACATTTAGATAAAAGTGTAGGAAGCCTTTTTGATCAAGTGGTGCTGGTATATTTGCTAACTATAACATACACATTGGGCTTCATATCTTGATGGCAATCTTGAGAGTCATTTGAACGTTAGTGTGTCATAAATTTTTAAGATCTCCCTGATTACTGTTTAATCCAATTCGAAAGTGATTATATTAGATTTATTTGCGACTGTGTCTATTCAGTGTTCCGCTTAGTGATTTGAACTTTTCTACACTTTAAAATGATCATTTGAATGGACTACTTGATATAAATCAGCAAAACGCAAATTAGTAACCAACTTTCCCCTCCCTTTTCTTCTCAATCTCTGGCATTTATATCTAACTAAAACTCAGCATTACTGCGTGAACAACTAGACAGCACTCAGAGAACGCAAACCTCCGCCAAGTCAGCTCACTATCCCAGTAATGCCGTTACAAAAAAAGCATTCTGATGATAGCTTGACTCTCATGATTCCTTGACCATGCAAACCTACCCCTTGCACCTGGAATCAGAGGTCACAATATTAGTTTGAAAGTTATTCAAGAAAAAAAAAAAACATTTCACTAATGGCAGTTTCCTTAAGTATGTAGCTGAAGATCTGTCAAATCTGTTGACATCCTACCGAATCAGCAGAGTCACGGCTAGGGTTTAATTTTAGTTTCAAGTCCGTAGCAGTGTTTGCTGTCTCACAATAGCCAGTTTTCCATGAGCCCCATAAATGTGAATATTCTGGATCACTGCATCCAGATTATTACTTGGATCCAGATTATATCTGGTGTGTGGTAGATCTTCTGTGGATGCTAGAACAGTATGTGATTTTTTTCTCAACAATTGTAGGTATTGTGTATGGAGTTAGAAGCAAAAATATTGAAATCAGCCCTATCTCATAATGGTGAAGAGTCATTTTAAAAAATCCACGGATCCGGATGAAGGTTCGGATCAGCGACAAAGTCTAATGGATTGCTTTGTGTGCCATAAAAAAAACAAGTCATCCAAATTCTTTATTTACTTTTTGAGTTATGCTGTGAACCATCCAACCAACAAACAAACACACACACACACACTGGCAAAAACATTATGGTAGCTCCACCTCGGCAGAAGTGATAAAGAAAAAAATGTAATTATTATCTGTTGTATTAAAATGTCAAAGCGATAACTGTGGGAGTGAATGGTATGAAGAAAAAAACACAGAAACAGAATCAGCCAAGGAGCAGAAATGGTAACATAACTGTATTTTCCTTTAAGACTGTCAGGGAGTCAGTCGGTGTCAGGACAGATACTTAATGGTAACCTGCCTCTTAGCTTCAGGACTGAAGTTTATACTGAACATGATACTCTGGCAGCCCTGACTGCCAGGTGCTGAAAGCTTTGTTTATGTCACAGATCAACCAAGAAACATTCCTTTGTTGAGATTTATGAGGATCATTGGCTTTGTTTTTAATACAGTTAAAAAAAAAAAAGTATGTAGTCTAATCAAGCCAACTCATCTGTGGTGTAAGTGTATCAACCGCTGTGACTGTGGGATCACTAAATACCTGCGTAGGAACGCTGTATGCCAGAGATGACAGTGCTGATAGGAGATAAACATATAAAATGTGCCAGTTTTACATTTGTGATGATTTTTCTTTCTTCCGAGTGCCACTTACACACCTTAAAAAAATTCTGAAAAGTACAGGGCATTCTTCCAGCCATACAGCACCAGCCACACAGAAGGGACAATGAGACCCAGATGGGTTTAGTTATCCAGAAACCATTCACCTCTCAATGGAAACAAATCTTGGACACACAGTCCAGGAGTTTTGTCTTGTATGTTGCTATCTGTGGTAGCTGCAGAGTGGAGAGGGTCTGTGCCAGGCAAGGGTCCGCAGGGACCACTGGAATCGCTGGGGCTGGAGGAAGTTGGTCTGGGTCCAGTGGGGCGATCTGGGCTTGGTGACAAGCCAAGCTGTCTACTGCAGGGACGCTGGGAAAATGTAAATAAGAGCCTGATAAGGGCTATTGTTTTCATTCCATTCTCATCCCAGCTGAATGGCCTGCTCCCCAGTCACAGAGCATTTTATCTCGAGAGAGGGAGGGAATGTGCTGGAAGGAGTGGGGGTGCAAGAGATTTAAGAGCCCCCTTAGGAAAATAAAAATAAACTTAATGGACGCTTCGATTTGTTTAAGCTAATTCCCCAGTATGTGATGTCCTACTTTAAGAACACTCATCTTTAAGCTAAAAACTTTATGTTGTCCTCTAAGTGTCTTGGATAATTATGTTTGCCTTTCATTTGCAAATCCACCAACACTTGATATCCAGTAAAACTGGTGAAATGTGAATCTTTTATCAGAATTAATTTGTTATTTTATGGTGAATACAGTGTGTATCAATTTTTGACATTCTCTGTGTCATAACCTGACAGTAATTATTATGTTGATACTAACCAGTGTTTCTATTGGCATCTATAATTTCTCCAGAGAAAACAGACAGGCATTTTAGAAACTGAAATAGCATTCCTCCTATTAATCTAAATTCTTTTGAAAAATAGGCTGTGGAAGGGTGCTTTGAAAAAAGCCAGACATCTGACTCATTTACTGTTTTACTTGAGCACGCCTGTGCAAAAGTTGCTCTGCTTACCAAATCCATGTTTGGTTGACTGTTTTGTCCATGCTGTTCAAGCACTGAAAGGTGCTTGAGAGTTATTTTATAGACTAATCAGGGTCATTATTCACCTCTCCCAGGTGAAAGGCAGGGAGGACAGCAATGCATTCCAGCTGTAGTCTCTCCTGTTGGAGGACTTGGCAGGTTGTGTCTGGCCCAGCTGAGGGGATGGAGAAGTGAGGGAGCGCCAGCTCTCCTGGGAGGGAGGTGGAAGGGAGGGGGAGGACTGGAGTAGAATGGAAGCTGGCACAACATTATCTCCAACAGTTGGTGCATTCCTTAATGATCAAGTGCTGGAGCAGCCTCTGTGATGAAAGTGTATGTGTATGTGTTTGTGTGTGTGAGAGAGGGAGCATATGTGTGCATACTGTATTAACATATGTTGACTGTGTTTGTTTAATTCCCCTTTAAACCACTTGAAAAACAAGGCTTTTCTCTGCTTTAAGGGAGTCTGTGTCATGTACTGATATTGTTGCCTGTCTGAGGATTATGATTTGAGGGGAGTTTGTTGTTCTCGGGGAGGATGCTGTCTCACCCTCTGGGTGAGGTGGAGGGAAGAAGAGCTGAGTTCTGCTACCCTCTCTGCCCTCAACCCCTGTTTTAAGATCTGTGATCTTTGTGCCACAGAGGGAGTTAACACACACAACACACACAGCCTTTTCTCTCTCCCTCTCCTAGGGTCAAGGGGACAAACTGTGAGTTGGGAATTGGAAAGTCAATAAAGCAGAAGTAATGTTATAATGACCCTGAGTTGAAGATGTCCTGTCGACCTCCATCACACTGGAGGAAGTGGACAATCAAACAAAATGGTCACTCTACTTGATGTCTCTGAAAGCTTTCCTTAAACAAGGCCACAAGAACTACTGACCCCCTGTTACTCCCAGTTCTTCTGAAGTCTGTGTGTTTGTCAGAGGGAGCACCAGTGTTTGGCTTGTAGAACTGGAGAGCAAGAGATGTTACCGCAGGATAAAAGAAAACAACACGTATGTGTTGTGTGTTTGATGTCAATGATGATAATGGTGAAACTGGAAGAGTCTAGAAAATTGCATCATGTGACAGACCTTTTTCCATCTTTCTTCCTGTTTCTCTCTGTCTTGTGCAATGTAGGTTAAAAAAGTTACATCACACTGAGAAAAACAACTTCAGTGACATCATCTGTAACATGAACATACTTATGAATTGTGTCCTTTGAGTACCAGAACTATGTTCATGGATGATCCACTGTTAGACACTATGTGGTTTGGCTAATTATTGTGGTGCTCTGGGGCTTTGTGGTGATATGTAAAGTGTTTGCTTGGGTTTGCATTTTGCTCTGCATCAAGAGAAACACAATTAAACAAGTTATATCATCCTTAGGTAATATATGAAACTGGAGGGCAATTTCTATAGAAAAAGCTGTTCTCCCAGCACTGGATTGTACAGGAGTGCTGCTTGTTTTACCAGACCCAACAGGGAATGGGTGCTGCTTGTCTGGAACTGGTTAAGAGTGGAAGCACTTTGTGGAGACAGTGGCTCAAGGTGGAGGGATGGAGACTTAACTAGTGCTGTTGTTTGATGGGAACAGGCTGACCCCTAAGCAGCGCGGAGATGGTGGAGGCTTGGGTCAGCTGGCCCAGTGTGTTCTTTATCAGCTACCCCAGCAACGGCATGGCAGATTGCAGCCATTTCTACCCTGATTCATTGTCTGCTGGACAAATGTTAATTGTTTTCATCATTGTGAAAGCTATGTGAAAGCTTAGATATAGATATACCAAGTCGCACACCTTGCCTCCTACTTAATGTGTGTCTCTTCCTTCATGTTATCCCCACAGTGGGTGCTTCCGTCCTTGCTCCACCCTTAGCTCATCTTTCAACTGTCAGAGTCCCTTTAACGTTTATCGTGCGATGCCTCTGAATAAAACACCTCTCTTTTATGTGATTCATTTCTCTAATTTTCATTTAAATACAAAGACTTAAAGATTCATAACATTCACAAAACTAAAGCAATATAAACTAAATTCAACATACAACATTCCATAATCATAAAAATGGCTCTAAAATAATTTATTCATTCACATTGCATTATATTTCTTTACTGTTCTTTTCAGAATCCTCATGTATGGAGAATCTCCTGTCTAAAGACTGGAAAGAGAAGATGGAGCGGCTCAACACCAGCGAACTTCTGGCAGAAGTAAAAGGTAGGACAGTAAGCATTGCATCAACGTGTCCGTGCAGATTCTCAATCATCCAGGTCATAGTAAGCTGAAAAAACTTCGAAAAATCAACTGGACTAGGTTTTTAGGTTGAAGACGTTTCATCTCTCATCCAAGAGGCTTCATCAGTGCTGCCCAACTGGCGTTGAGTTGGAGATATTTATCCCCCTCGGTGGTGTTTCAGTCCTTTGATGTCCAACAATGTCCCCTAATGACTGCGTGGTTATAGCCCAGTATCGGTGAGAGTCATTACCTGTCTTTGAACCCGGCATCGGTCCACAGGTGAGGGTTCAAAGACAGGGTGATTTTTTCAGCATTGCATCAAAGCAAGCAGATTTACCGCACAAACAAAGTTGTGTTAACAAGCTCCTCATTCCTATCAGACAAACATAATCTATGTACTGTATAATCTCAGAAACAGCCTTGTGCTCATAAAACAATGGCCTCTGGCTGCCCTCTTTATTCATTTCTCTCCTTCCTTATCTTTTGTTGGAATGCCCGACTGTGTCCAAAATTGTCTCCAGAACTCCATCCCATTTAGACCAATTCTGAAGCTCACTATGCTTGTCAGTAGTTTACTGTTGTTGTCCCTTCAGATGACTCTAAGCCTATAAGCTACTTTGCTCTGGCACATGCAGTGTGTTCATGCCGCTCTGGTAATTGTTGCTTGGTGTAACCAGAGCATGGCTGAGCTGAGAGAAGAGGAGCTGCTCAGAGAAGAGAGAAGATGGTGCAGAGACCCACAGAGCAGTCTCCTCAGTGAGCCTGCATTTGAGTGGAATGCCTTGACTCTGACAGTGAACGCCCTGCGCAGCGTAACGAGTGCAGCCCAGCAAAGCACAAGTCAGCACTCCCCCAAAATCTCTGTTTATGACAGGGTGAAGGTGGGCTGAGGATGGGCAGGGCTGCTGCTTAGTCCTTAGCACTGACTGTTACTGAGAGCTGGTGTGTTTATACAGCACAGGAAAGCACAATACCAGCTGGCTGATAACACCAGGCTGTCACTGGCTCCTGCACTCTCCCACAATGATTCACTTCAACAGACAACTCACTGTGCTTTGATTTTATTTCTTGGAAACAATTTAGACAATTTGAACACAGACTATTCTCAAAATAATTCTTAAATGCTTTTTATTAACAGTTTGTGGAGATTCTTTTCACAAACATAGATCACAGTATAAAATAAAAAATCAAATTTTACAGCTGTGCAGGTTATTTTTTATATATATATATAAAATCTATGTCACAAACAGTAAATAAAGCCAATGTTTGATTTAAATTTTTGATTTATGTTTTCCCTCCACTTGCAGAGGGAGGGAAAGAAATGCTGTTGAATGTTATAACAAGTATATTCATTGGCAATAACCTTAATGAACTGAAGGATAAATCATCGCTTGCTAAACTAAATTCATTGTACCTGCCCTAGTATACTGTACACCGCTGTAGATCAAAGTGCACCGGGTAAAATGTTTAAAATGATTTAGCCTTTTGAAAACTGGCCTGTTAAATTACAGGCAGGACATTTCTTGTGTTTGATGAATGAGAACAGGAAGGTTACTTGGTGGTCTGTAAACAGGTCTGGAGTCTGATAATAAACAATATGGCCTCTGTCTGTTGATGAGTTATGGCGACACTGTATACACCACAGTTACCAGTATAAATGCTTCTCCTATCAGAGTGGCAGCCTTAGATTTTTAATTAGTATGCCATTTCATATGACTGTAGACATTTCAAAGGGCTGCTTTGTGCTCCCCCTTATAAATGTCTCTCTCTCTGCGTTTGATGTCTGCCTGATGTAAATATGGGCAATTAAAAAGAAGCCCAGGGTTGGAGATGCACAAGGTCCACCTAATTAAAACACAAACAAAGGTACCAAGCAGAAAACACCTTATGATTGAGATCTAAAGTGTTATGATGAATCAGAGGTTCCATTAATTGTTGGGTCAAAATCAGCACAAAAGGCAAGCATGTCTGTTGGTTTTAAATGAATGACAGAAAATAAAGAATAATGGCTCACATACAAATAAAGACTACAGCACCTACTAGCTGAATGACCTTGTATATTCTATGCTGAGTGCTCAATGTAACTTCCACCTAAAACGTGTCTATATACATATACATTTTAGAGGTACTTTTATTTTCTCTTTTCATTTTCTTTCCTAAGTGCACATTCCTTTTTCCCGTTTACTTATTGCCTTATGGAAGAACATTGTCCATGTACACTGAGAGCCACTGTACCAGAGTTAAGTTCCTTGTGTGTGCAACTCACATAGTCAGTAAAGCTGATTCTGATTCTGTTTCCTCAGCCAAGCATCCCGAGCACCTTGTAGGTTACCTTTTGACATTGTTCCATCAAAACCTTGAACGACAAGTAATTGTGTTATTGTGGAGGCAACTGATGTGATCTGATTGATGAGAAAATCATTTTTCTCATTCTTAGGAAACAAATAAAGTGAAAGACAATAGGTGTGACAGAATTTGACCCAAGGCTTTACCAGTGAAAAAAAAGACATTCTTTAACTGCAGCTTTGTTCAAACCTGCCCTGAATACTTTATCCTGTTGAGGTGAACATGCACGTACAGTAAACAAACAAAACAGAACAATACTATCAACAACATCAGAGCTTTGCCTTTAAAGGTCTGTTCACCCAACCCCTTTATTCACCCCTTATGGATGACACACACGAGTGTTTCACTACATAATGTGCTGTTTCTGGAGCAAAGACATTTTTTTAGACTTACTAGAAACAAATGCAGTAATCCAGTCAACGCAGTAGAATGGCATTATTAAGAGTTAATGATTTCAAAGCTCCATCTGCCTTTTCTTATATGCTGTTAGGGCTTAGCATCAGCAGGGGCAGGCAAAAAGGAGAGTTTGTGAAGGAGCATTAGTGGCGGATTTCTTTTCACCAGTCAATTCCAGAGCTAACTATTTGTTTTCATACCTAAGCTTAGCTGTCAATCTGCAACGGTGAGGAGGGAGATGAAATCTCCTGAACAAAACCACAGAGCAAGAAAGGGAGGCCGACTGGAAGGGCTCCAAACCACAGAAAGCAGCAGATAATAGGAGGCAAGGTGGAAGAAGGAGTGCAAGAGGGAAAAAGAGAAAAATATTTTAGAAGTGGATACTTAGACTCAACATTTATAATTATATACCTCAGAGATTACTGTCTTCAAAGAATGCAAAGCTCCTACAGTATTCATCACGATTTAGAATGCTTATTGTGCCATATGTTAATGTCATAGAGGATGCATTTATATATACACACATACACTTTGTGATATGTATACAAATAAAGCACACAGTGTCCTGTGGCAGATAAGGTTGCTCTCAGCAGCATGCTTGCTCTTTGCAGGGTCTTTGAGCCTCATACTCAGCAGAGCTGTTTAAGTTTCCCTGCTGAGTGCCAGTTTCCCGGCCCCCTGTTGGGGAAAAAAAGGCAAAATGCTCATGCATTTGCTCAAACTGAAGGAAAATATGTAGTTACTAAATTGGAACACAAGCTGTATTCATTCTCTTGGAATTTGCCTCCCCCCGCTCCCCGCCCCACAAAATAAATAGATAAATAAAAATAAGAAAAAAGCTTAACATCGTACACTAGTGCCGAAATGTAAGCTGGAATTCGGAAGCAGAAAAAGCAAGGCTTCTGCACTGTCACAATCAATTTGAGAATGGTGTCTACATGACAGTGGTCGGGTGCACATGGACCGTCCTGTGGCAGGCAGATAAGTGGAAGCTGTTTAGGAGGAGAATACAGGGCAGGGCAGGGTGGCAGCTGAGACTGATTTGGTGCTGGCCTACCTGGCTTTACTGCTGCACAGACAGAAAAGAGCTCACTGTGTGAACACAGAGTGCATATTGTTCAGCCATAATGGAGTAGCTTCAAAATATGATTATTCACGTTAAAATGTAACTTTATTCGTAATAGCTTCCATAAAGTGCGGTCTTGAGGCTGGAGATACAAAGAACAATATTTGTGCATACATTTCCCAGGGACACTGACTTACAGTTTGTAGCTTTAGAGACCAAAGGAAAAGAATTGTGTATAGTTGATTTCAAATGCTTGTGTGTTTTTATAACATACTGTATATGAATATCATATATATTATATTTTACCAAGTATACAAAATATTTACAATCAGGGCACAAAACTGTATTTGTCCAGGTCGCTCCAGTAAAAAAAAAAAGCCTCAGTTAGCATTTTCTCCACAACACTTTGCCCTGTGCATTCAGGAGAAATATGAGCCACAGTAAATCATTCATCCTCAGGCCACATTTGCCAGATGAATGTATGAGAGTGTTGGACTGTATGTTTTTCTCCTCTAATGAATTGAAGAATTTAGCTTGTGGCAATGGAGGTAAAAAAAAAGTGCTGTGCTTGTGTGTGTGTGTGTGTGTGTAAGACAGGGATAGAATTCTCTTTGTGTTTTGAGCCTTGGCTTGTTTTACTAATGTACTGTATATACTATACTACTGTATAATGTATATAGTAAGTGTATATTCCATATGAAACCATGGCGTTAATCCTGCCTTTCTTTGAAAAGAATTTAAAACATTTAAAAGGCTGACAAAACACACCTATGCTGTTTAGAAGAGGACACCCCCTCAGCAAAATAAAGCCATGAAAAGCTGCTGAAGGACTGATCTCCAGTACTTGCAGACTAAGAATGTAAATGAATACAAATATATTACTTACATATGAACAGATAATGTAACCTGAACAGATGCAAACAACACTGAACCATTTCAGAAGTGCAACTCTAGTAGCGAAGAGAGGCTTTCAAATTTTTATCAATAACATTTAATTTAATAGACACTTTCAATGAACTTTATCTTCACCTGGACCTCCCTCCATGTGTAACCTCCACCTTTTAAAAATGATTTATTAACCTTATTTTGTCAGTAGATTTCTCCTTAGAACAACTAAACATTCATGTTACTGGCATGAAACCAGAAGAATTTTAAAAAATCCACTGGTGCAGGA